CCTGAATTCTGATTTTAAAAGGAATTAGCCAGCTCCCCGTTTTTGACCCTGTATTGGTATATCCCAGTCATATTTTGCTATCGCTTGTACTGGATGCTGTTTGAACTGTTTTTAAAATGCATGCATGCATGCACGCACTGTGGCCTTTGCATACCTGACCTAGAGGTGGTGGTGCACCAACCAAATAACTCTGTATGAAATTTAAAGAAATATCACACTACCACTTAACTGTAAGGCATACTTGAACGCTCAGATGTTTAACGCCCACAGCCCCGTTTACACAAGTTGTAGTTGTAGCATGTGTCAGAATGTCTCTTTAAAGACCGGCCTTTCAAAGTATCAAAGTATCGTTATCAAACGCCGTCTTTGTGAGCCCTAGCAGCTTCCGGTTCCAGGAACAGGCGCTCACTGGCATCGCGATCGCTCCTCCTCTTCCTCCTCCTCCTCCTCTGGGACAGGGTGGTCCAGAGTGGGCCTGGTCACTGGTGGTCCTTCAGTTTAGTGTGAAATCGGCCTCATGCCAGGAAGCCAGGCCCGTTCTGGATACCCTACTCCGCGGCTGAGCTCTTAATCAGAGGCTGTGTTTTCTCACATCAGGGCAGCCTTTATAATTAGAAGCAAGCCGTGAACCAATGTCATACGTGCCGGCGACTCTTCATTGGTTTCCGCTGTGACCCGAGGAGGAGGGATTCCAAGCTGCAGAGAAAGAGGCGGTGGCAGACCTAAGTAATCCTCACGTAGAGTTCGGTATTTAATAACTGTACTTTTATAAGGGCTGTCCTGTTGACCTGTAAATGGCTCAAACCAAAGTGGGATTCTGCCCTGGCAGGCACCTCAAGGAGCCTCAGATGAAACGCTGAGATCCGAGAAGCGGTTAAGTTTTTTTAGGATTGGTAAGGGAGCAGAGTCCCGGACCTCCTTTGTGAGGCAGATAATCCTCTCGGATCTCAAAGCTGTAAACGGGTCTCTTGCACGGTGCTGATCTTCTCTCGCTTGCGGGGGGGGAAGACCCTGGGGAGAAACTGGTGGCAAAGGAGAAGGCCAGGCCCGGGAAGGCAACAATACAAATTTCCAATTAAGTACAAGATTGTGAAAAGTACTGTAAGTCGCCATGTTGTCACAAGCTCGCATTCGAGTTCCCACGAATTGCGACGTGAAGCGGCCCTTCCTGCTCACTAGTCACTGGAACGACTGATGTAATGGGAGGTACGCACGGATAACACCAGGTTGTGCAGCTGGCATGTCACCGCAGTAATGTTCCAACGTGATCTGCGTGCGGAGTTAACAAGTAGCGTTTGTCGGCAAAACCGTCTCGAAATCGAGGGCAATATTTCTACTGGATTAAAAGAGCTGTATTCACATATTTACAGTGTCACAGGGCCGCTTCACCTCACCGGTAGTTTTGTGGCCTCATTCTCAATCGCAGAGCACGGCACTGCGCAGACCTGGAAAATTAGTCTATTTTTATGTGTGAATTGGAGGTTTTACAAGTTACTGCAGACATTTTGCTTTTATTGCGGTTTTGAAATGCCCTCGTTAATGTTGATTCTTTCAAACACTGAAATATGAAGATAGCACTGCAGTTCCCCTTGAAAGAAGCGTCAGTTTTGACCCTTCTGGGCTTCCGGTCCTGCCTTCCACACGCTGTCCTGAAAGTTCCCTTTGACGATCACTGATTTTGTCCCAAACCAGCCTTCCTGTCGCTCCCATCACGATTCCTAGATGGTTGTGTGAAAGCAGGAGCAGGAGGGGTTGCTCTTTTCTTACACACATGTCAATTTATCTCCTCCATTTTGTGTTGTTGCTGCTATAGCGAATTCTTGGTGGAGGGGGGGAGGGAAGACTCCACTTAAACCTCAGGAACGTAAACTGTAATCCTGCACAGCCTTGTGGTTCTCCCCATTTGTGTTTTATTCAGTGCAATATAAGTGTAAGCTTGTATTTAGGAGAAAAGGTGTGATTATCGATGCAGTGTATTTAAACCCTAAGTAGTAAACAGCATTTGATAATATTCTGGGTAACGGTAATACTGGCAGTTTATTCTGTGACTATTTTTTGAGTTTTTAAGTGTTAACACACCTGTTTATATATAAAGCGTACATACACACGTTAGAGGTCACACTCTGCAGTGAGGAAACCTCAGGTTCTGAAATAACCCCAGAGAGCGTGTTTTGGTGTTAAAGGGATTAAATTAAGACAACGTTGTGTTTTTCTTTCTTTGAAGTGGTGGTGAAAATGTTGCCTCAGCATTGTTTCTCATAAAGAGAGCCCCCCTCTCGCACCATATTAAACTTGAGCCAAAATAAAGCCAAACGGAAAGATCATCTTAAGAAACCAAAAGGCACGACCACGGCTAGTGGCGAGTGTTAAGTTTTCACAGCTTCTTGTTGCGACCCTAGCTTTGGCTTGGATTTGCTTTTCATCCTGTGGTTTCAAACGCAGGCTGTCCAAGCTAGGGAGAGAACCAAAACGTGGCACTGGCCTACAAATCCGGGTCGCTTCATCAAGTAATCGTTTGCTGTCCACCCCTCTTTTTTAATTTAGGTATTGCCTATACCAGGGATGACTTTTATGTGTCGCGGGTCAGCGTACCCAAGCTGCAGATTGCTGTACGCAGAGCGATTTGCGGACACCAGCTGTGCAGTCTCGCTCTCTGGAGCGTGCAGTCCTGTACGTGGCGAAATGCAGACAGGGCAGCTCAGCGGTCGAGGGGCGAATTGGCGGGATCACACGCCAAGGGAAGTTCGCTGGACACGTGGCTGTAAAAGTGAGGCTTGGGATCCAGTGGAAAGAGCCGGGAAGGGCTGTGCTACTGATGCTTGTAGGAATCGGGACGGACGCAGGTGTCGCAGGTGTGCAGTTGGAGCAGGTGGGCTTTGAGCTTTAAAAGGGGATCAAATGGGTGATCCTCATGAAAGATGATAGGAAACAGAAGGCAGTTGTTGGCAGGTCCAGTACGGGGTGGATGGGGTTCCAGACCCTATCCCAGCAAGAAACTGGGCACAAGGCTATTCTGTCACAGGGCAGACACAAACAGACATGAACACACTCACGCCAGAGCCAGTTTCACAGAAACCAGTTAACCCGTGAGGATGTCTTTGGGCTGTGGGAGGAAATCAGAGAGCCTAAATATCCTTGAGGATCTATGTATCGACTGAAAGGTGGGATGACTGGGACTGTCGTTTCACTTGTTTCCTGCTCTCGCTGCGGCGCCTCAGCTGCTGTCGCGGGACCGAGGCGGCCTCCTTTCTGCCTGGTTCACTTTCAGCCCCACGTCCGCTGCCGGAGCCCAGTGGAGGCTGCGGCCGGGTGCTTTCTCTTCGGGGGGCGGGGTGCCTCACTGTGTCGCTGCCTCGGCTGCCCTCCCCACAGAGGCTCTGCACGTGCTGGGCTGTTCCAGGAGCCTCCGTGGTGCTTGCTTTTAATTTAAATTAACAAAAAAGTCCTGGGTGCTAACGGTCGGTTGTTTTTCCTTTTTGCAAAGATAGAAGAACAGATTTCAAACCTGATGGCTAAATTAGATTAGATCGTGTGGTTGTTTTACACCGTGTTACTTCTCATTCCCATGTTCTGCTGTGCCTGTCACTTCCCGAAGAGGATATTAGGCTTTGGCAGAAGTGAGCGCTGTCGGTCTTCCCTATTTCTGGTACTTTTTCAGTGTCAGTTTTCAAGGCACACACACACACAGAAAGGTGAACTGCAGTCATGAGATAACTGCGTGTTTTATTATGATGTAAAAAGAGGTCTATCTTAATTGGGTATCGTCTGCAAAGGCAAATAACTCGATCCGATGTCTGTTGTGCTCAATGGGGCGTGGTAGCTTCCAATCCGTGAGCCCGGAGAGCTCAAGAATCCACCGTTTGTATCCCCAGCTTTTAAAAATAAATCTTAAAGTTTTTCACCTCATTTTCTGCAGCAGATTTTACTTTTGAACCATATTTCTGTTTTTTTTTTCTCGCTTTGGTTGCTGTTAAAGGAACGTGCGAGACTTGATTGCCTCTCAAATAAAAAAAAAACCCACCCCGAAGCCCTTCAAGATGGCTCGGCGGAGCTTAACCAGCAGCAACGGCCTCGCGGATTGCACATTAAGCAACGTGGGGGGAAAAAGCGCATTCATGAGCGAGCACAGAGGGGAGCATTGTTCTGAATCAATTTTGTTCTTTGAGGAAGTTAACTAAACTGGGCAATATTCAAAGTAGGGGCTAAGGCCGGAGAAAGACAGTGTCAATGAGTTTCCTTATATTTGTCTCCTCCTTGTTTTGCATAAATTGTGAATGTTTTCTTTTTTTTTTTCTGGTCAGGACTGTATATCTCCTTTTTATCATCATCAAGGGCTTCTCTTGCCTGGCGTGAGCAAAGAGAGTTCGGCTGGATGACAAAAGTCAGCCTGTCTCTCTTTCCCACTGACCCTGATAGGGCCGGTCGCCCTGCAGCTCCCAGCTGGCAGCCCCAGTGGAGCTCAGCAGGTGTGAGCCTGGCCAGTACCTGGAGGGGAGACCTCTTGGGAAAAGCTAAGGTTGCTGCTGGAAAAGGTGTTAGTGGGACCAGTAGGGGGTGCTCACCCTCTGGTCTATATGGGTCCTAATGCCCCAGTATAGTGATGGGACACGGAAAAGGCGGCATCCTTCGGATGTGACGTAAAACCGAGGTCCTGACTCTCTGTGTTCATTTAAAATCCCAGGGTGTTTCTTGAAAAGAGTAGGGGTATAACCCCGGCATCCTAGCCAAATTTCCCATTGGCCTTTCCCAATTATGGCCTCCTAATAATCCCCATCTATGAATTGACTTCATTACTCTGTTCTCCTCCCCACTGATAGCTGGTGTGTGGTGAGCGTTCTGGCGCACTATGGCTGGCGTCACATCATCCAGGTGGGGCTGCACATTGGTGGTGGTGGAGGGGATCCCCATTACCTGTAAAGCGCTTTGAGTGGAGGTCCAGAAAAGCGCTGTATAAGTGTAAGCCATTATTATCATTCATTGCCCCATCTCTGTTCTCCCAGGTGGTGCGGCTGTGCCAGAACCCGAAGCTGGCGCTGAAAAACAGCCCGCCCTACATCCTGGACCTCCTCCCGGACACCTACCAGCACCTGCGCACCATCCTCTCCCGCTACGAGGGCAAGATGGAGACGCTGGGCGAGAACGAGTACTTCCGCGTCTTCATGGAGAACCTCACCAAGAAGACCAAGCAGACCATCAGCCTGTTCAAGGAGGGCAAGGAGAGGATGTACGAGGAGAACTCGCAGCCCAGGTGAGTGGGGGGGGTGCGGACGCCTGCTTCCGGAGGGGCCGAGGGCCATTGCACATGGTCTCCAAGGAGGAAGGGTAGGGATGGGGTTGAGGATGTGGTTCGGCACAGGCTTGGGTTTCATAGCTAGAGGTGGAGTTGTGTTGAGGCCTTTTAACCCTGGCCTCCACCAATCATGGCCTCCTAATAATCCCCAGGAATTGCCTCATCGCTCTGTTCTCCTCCCCCCCGATAGGTGATGTGTGGTGAGCATACTGGCGCACTATGGCTGCCGACACATCATCCAGATGGGGGCTACACACAGGTGGTGGTGGAGGGGAATCCCCATTACCTGTAAAAAGCACTTTGAGTGGAGTGTCCAGAAAAGCGCTCTCATTGTTGTTGTTGTTGTTGTTTTTCCACAGAGTTTCCGAGTTTATGGCCTCCGTTAAAAAGATCATGCTGTAATTAGCAAATCATTTCACTTCTTATTCGAAGCAGAATAGCCGTAGGGGTTGCTGTGCCCACCTGACTTGGAAGCAGGGCCGGATTTTGGTGTTTGTAGGCCCGGGGCACTTTCACTCCGAAATGTGCAGAAAGAGGGGTCAACGACTGACATGATGCACTTTAAACTGTTCGAATGCTAAACCACGTGACTGATGGAACGAGTTGAGCGACCATCGCTTCGATACTTCTAGTTTCTAGTTTCTAGAACAGCCTAGTGTAGTTTCTAGTGTATGATTATTGATTTGGAGCACCTAGAGTCGATCGCAAGCCTGTTGCTTCAGCTCATTTTTCATTAGTTGCTAGTGTTTAGGGCCTATGAAGGGGGGAAACATTTCCTAGGCCCTAGGCACTGTAGGCACAGTGGAAATCCAGCACTGCTTGGAAGGGGAAGATAAGAAAAGGCCCAGACCGGAGGAGGGCATTCAGCCCAGGTGTCCCGGTTGGTATTTAGTTGCTTGACTGATCCACGGATCTCAGCCAGCCGTTCTTGAGAGAGTCTCTGAATCGACAGCGTGGCCGGGAAGTTTCAGACTCCCACAACTCTGGGGGTAAAGAAATGCCTCCTGGTTTTGAATTCGTTTCCCCTTGTGCCCTCTGTTTCACTCTTCTGTTGGCTTGTCAATGCCCTGGAGGATGTTAAAAATCTGAAAAGGCTCGGTTCCTTCAGCCTGTCAGCGTATTACATGCCTTTAAGCCTCAGAACGTATCTGGCTGCCTTTATCTGCACAGATTACAGAGCAGCACTTTGTTCTCTATACCGTGGTCACTAGGCCTGACTAGTGCATTAAGTAATTTTAGCATCCCTTTAATTAAATGTTATACCTATATGCAATTGCTTCCCCACATTGTCTCGTTGGTGTGATGTGTCGCGTCTGGGCTCCCAGCTTCGCTGTGTACGTGCAGGGGGGAGATGAGGAAGTGAGTCAGGATCCTCACAGCCGCTTGGTTTTTGACACATC